GCCGCGCGCGGTGGCTCTTTTGAGGAGCGCTCCGTGACCGCTCTTGATGAAGGGACCACCACGCCATCTCCGTATTCACCACGTTGCATTGCGGCTCTTGAAATTTTGAGTTGGTTTACTTTTAATATTTTTTTGCCGAATTGATTAAGGGACCACCACGCCGTCTCCGTATTCACCACGTTGCATTGCGGCTCTTGAAATTTTGAGTTGGTAATTTTGTATATTTTTTGCCGAATTCGAAACAAAAAAAACGCGTCTCTTCTCGTTATCTTAGTTTGCCTAGAGATGAAGAGCCAGAGACTTGTAAGAGGAGATGTTCCCGGCCAATGGAGCCTTCTCAACAGCACGTGGGAGATGCCACACAGAGGTACAGCCACTCACTCCCTCTCTGGCCCATGTGCTCTGAACAAGGGCTAATGCCCGAAACGTCACCCGTCGTAACACCGCTTCTTGTTAGGGCCACACAGTGTTGTTGATGGATGTGTTGAGTTGTTGTTATTTTTACCTACGTGACTTTACCGAAAAAACCTAAGAGCATGAACAGACTTCTTTGCTGCCACAAAAACAACAAAAACCCAACTGTACATCGTTTTCCAAAAAGGCATCACCACCTAAGAGTGGAAGGGGGGGGGGGCGGTAAAAATCCATCGCCAAAGTGGTTGAAGTCAAAAATACAAAACGAGTCTCGTAACGACTCCTCGATTAAGCGATTCTCATCGGGTCCTACAGTCGCCTCATCATTGCACACCAAGCCGCACTGACCGGCGCGGTGAAGTATGGTCAAAACAAAAAACGAAACAAACGGAACACGAACGATGACAAGGCCGACACGTGCCGCGCCGAGGCCTGCATCATCCAGCAGTGGTTCGGAGATGTGCTTTTTATGTTAAATAAATATTAGTATCATTGTCAACTTATCATACAAAAATATACATATATATATAACTGCCATTGTGCGCCAACATAGTTATCCCAAAGAACAGAGAGAGATAAACTTAAAGTCACACAATATTCACCACGAAAAGCGAAAATGGAATTATTACATCATTAGGAAAGTGCTAACATGGAAAATATAATTCCGCAACTTGATTTTTTGTTGAGGGTACTTGAGCTTGAAATTTGGAGCGGGTTACGCGATAGATGCCTAGCCATGTCCACGAAACAGTGATTAACATAATTTTAAATCGGCTCTTTCTCCCAACTCAAATTTCCAGATTCGTCGTATAAATACATACACACACGGAGGTAATCACCGCCAATATGATTGTTAAGATTAATACGATCATTCATTTTTTAGATTTTGCGACGCACGTAGTAACGATTCAGCCGCATGTTTTTGGCGCGTCGCCCTCCACCAGCCAACACCGCCGAACAAATGAAATGGTCACGTGGTGGACAAGCGTTTGACGATTGTCATCGGTTGCCTTTGGCGGCGAAACCGGCGAGTCGAGGAACGCTTCTCAACAGTGAAGAGGCGAGACGTTTCGCTTGCAACTGCGTCAGACATCGTCAGGATCGCGTTTGGCTGTGTCGGGTGGCAGAGGGTTCAACAACACAACTTTGGTCAGATCATTACATGGCCTGATCCAAACATCAATTTATAATTTTAAATATACATTTCATATATATGATATGGTCTAACAGGTGACAGTTGCATTGTTTATCACTGTGACGACACTTCTTCTTGGTTCTTTTGGTAAAGTCACGTAGAAGGGAAATAATAAAATAATAAAAATAAAACATAATAAAATAATTCTCACGACGTTTCGGCCACAACGCAAGCAGCCGTCCTCAGATGAAGAACAGGGCTGTCGGAAAGACAGCGTCCGAGGACGGCTGCTTGCGTTGTGGCCGAAACGTCGTGAGAATTATTTTATTATGTTTTATTTTTATTATTTTATTATTTCCCTTCTAAGTGACTTTACCGAAAGAACCAAGAAGATGAATGCCTGCAGTCACGAAAGCTTTAAATCGAAATGTGACGACACTGTCGTCAATTGTGAACCGTTGCGATTACAATTGCCGTGACATGCTGAGCGGTGGCTTTCTTCGGCCGATGCAAACCAAACCAACAGCCCGTGCCACGTGGCTTTCAAACCAGGGGCGGAGATCCTGCACTTTGCCTCGGGTTTAATAGAAAGTTCAGTTACCTTTGGCAGGTAACCACACACACGCACACCTCAGTCCCTTCTGTCACCGCACGAGGCCTCTCGGTTAAGATGCTTTTTTTTCCACTGGCTGTTTGCCATGCCGAGCCGGGGCGCCACGGTGGCTAGGAGATGTTAACTACCTCGCCTGGTGTGCAGGAGGTCGTGAGTTCGATCCCGACCCTGACGCCTGCTGTATATTTGGAGTTTGCGTGTCTCTCTCTCATCATCATCACGGTGGCTAGGAGATGTTAACTACCTCGCCTGGTATGCAGGAGGTCGTGAGTTCGATCCCGACCCTGACGCCTGCTGCTGCTGCTGTATATTTGGAGTTTGCGTGTCCTCTTTCTCGCGTGGATTTATCCTCCGGGTCCTCCGGTTTTTCTCCCCGCATTTAGAATCGACGTGCGTTTAGATTATGTGCCTGCTATAAATTTCCACGCGATAAGCCACTTCGTTGAGCTATCATTGTGATAACCAGGTCGCTTATGAAAAAGAGCTGTGTAGTAGCCCAGTGGGCCTTACCTGATGCAAAAAATGTATATACATCCACAAAACCAAACCGTGATGCGCTGCTGGAACCTCAGAGCAGAGGTCGCAATCGGGTACCTGATACCCGTACCCTACCCGATACCCGGCTACCCGTTTGTGACCCTGGTGCGGCCGGGTACGGGTACGGGTAGGCCGTGAGTCACTGGTGAGTAACCGTTTGTCACTCATTTCGGGTAGGGTACGGGTAGCGTACGGGTACCCGTACCCGGCCGGGTACAGGTACGGGTACCCATTTGCGACCCTGGTGCGGCCGGGTACGGGTAAGGAAACAAAACCCGTTTGCGACCTCTGCCTCAGAGCAACATCTGGATCTGTCTTGGGGCCAAGCAGGGCCAGGGACGGGCCTTCAGGAAACATTCGTTGCATCGTTACATGCAGAGGACTCTCTCAATGCATTTTCGCGTTGCCTCGCTATGTGCCGCTCGGCGTGATGTCCGACGTTTCGCTGCATGTGCTGGGAGCTTCTTCAGTAACTGAACTTTCTCGATGATGCAGCGTAGCCAGCTGCTGCTGGTTCTTGACGCGGATTGGCTCGGCAAGAAAAGAGTTGAGTTGCTCGGCTCAGTTCCTGAGGAAGCTCCCAGCACGCGGAGCGAAACGTCGGACGTCGTGTCACACAACACGCGCACGGTACAACCCGAAAACGAAGAGGAGAGAGAGAAGTACACGAAAAATAAATCGTCCATCAGCTCCCGTGACAACAACAACAACATCAACATCCGGACAGTGGGCACAGGCAGGCCAAGAGGGCACCACGACCAGCTGGGTACAGCGGCTCCCACGCTCACCGACGGCTCACGGGTCACCGGCCAAGAGCACGCGGGCGGCGCTACGAATGATGGCTTTAATCTAAGTTGTCTTGTGGTTGTTGTTGTTGTTGTTTGACTTGCATCCCACTGAGATTTTTTGAGCGTTGGTGTACTGTGCTTTTTTTCTGGAAGACTTTGCAGTTTTTTCCTGGATTTTTCTGTTTGCGCATAGTCACTTGAAGATGTTTTCTTGTTCATGTTTTTGTTTTGGTGTTTGTTGCAGTTGCACCCGATTCAAGAGCCGAATGGCTCACAGGGCTATACCTAATACATGAAACTGCGTGGGCCATTCATTGCCAAGGCCGTGAACGGGGACCTCTGGGTCGTCGTTAAAATCCTCCGTTACCTTCCACCACAGCGCAGCGCCAGGCCGGATGCTGCCGCCATGAAATATTAAATATCTTCCTCTCGTACTAAACGCTTTGCTTTCGCCCCCGTCGCACGAATGCGTGCGGCGTTTATAAAAATAAACGAACCAGTAGAATAAATTACCACAATTACTTATTTTTTCTTTCTCCGAGCGAGAAAGTCAGACCTCCCACAGGTATTTTACCTTCCTTGATCAATGTGCTTTTTAGGTGGGTACAAGGAAGAACGTAAGCACCCAGACGATAACAAACGCCGAACAGATGTGTGCGCGCGATTTAAAATGCTTAATCGAGAAGAGGGCTATAACCCTCTACAAAATAAATATATGACGATAATAACAACGATGATGACGGCCGTAATAATCATAACAATCATCCCCTCTGTGTACCGACGTGAATTACGCGGTCGACCGGTTTACAAAACACACGGCGACGCAGCCTCAACTCCCTCACAAGTTCGTAGACAAACTCAGCAGAGCGTGCGCCACGCGTGTGTGTGCGTGCGCCACGCGTGTGTGCGTGCGCCACGCGTGTGTGCGAGCGCGCGAGTAAGACGCTGCCTTTTGCGCGCCGGTAACTTCTGCCGCAACGACCGCGCATTTCAAAACCAAATGGCGTGGGAGGGCCGCTCACAACCCAGCAACGGGCCCACGCCCCCAAAGAACGCCAACGTTCCGCCCTCCACCCACCCCCACCGTGCCTTCCACACGAACATCTTCAAAATGCCTCTGCGAGCCAAGTCTGGTTATAAATACGCAAAAAAACAGCACGCTACCGTGGAAAGCTTTCGTTGGAATCTTCTTCTTTGGTTAAAAACACAAAACGCGCGCAAAAAAGGTCCACCTGGACCGTGACCCCGCAATGCCAACCCAAGACGTCACAAACGTCGCGCAAGAGACGGAGTCGAATCGGAACCCCCACCCACTGGGAGGGACCGAGTCACCGGCCCCTTGTTTAGTTCTGTGGAGGGCACGCTTGGACTGCGGTCCCGTCTTCGCGACTAGTGCAAAAGAAAACCACACACACAAAACCAGGAAGACGGATTCCCACACCGCGCCCCAAAGGAGTAGCAATGGCGGCAAGCGGCGGCGGCGGCCGTCCCATCGCGGGCTCTAAGCAGAAATATATTTGTCGGCCCCCCCCCCCCCTCTCCGGCCCACCCGCCTGCCCCCCTCACTTAGATTCATAAACTCATAGCCAGACGACAGAAGAGGTACAGACGCCAGGTGGAGATACGCAGAGACGAGAACAGAGAGGTGGACATGAGACAGATGGGGCCAGCAGACGGAGTGCAATGGGAGGAGAGAGAGAGAGAGAGACACGGATACGACAGCGTTGAGGAGAGATGAATTAGCTTGCCCGTGTCCATCAGGATCTCAATTCGAGTGGACGTTTGTCTCACCCGTACTTTCTCCACAGCAATTTGGGGCCCCCCGGGCTACTTGGGGGCCCTGCGCTTTTGCTGAGTTTGCGTGCGCCTTGCGCCACCAACCGGTGGCGGCTCTCACGACGTCGACAGAAAGGGGGGTCCATCTCGCTCCCCCCCCGCCCTTCAGCTGTTGGCGTTTCCGATTTCCTCCAGAATCCGGATCAGGTTTTGCAACCCGAAAATGTATCCCTGGTCAGGCCCGTCGTGCACGGTGGTGTCCTCGCGGAAGCCGCTGCAGGTCGTGTGGGCAAAGTCGATCATCCGCACGTCCACCTGCGGCGGCGGTGTCGTAGCCGCAGCGGCAGCATCCGACGACGACGACGGTGAAGGCACGGCGGAATCCGGCGCCGTCATCGCGGCCGTCGCGGCCCACGCGTGCGGCTCCGTGCCGTCGTAGATGACGAGCAGCGAGCTGGAGTAGAAGCGGAAGGAGGAGCGCGACTCCAGCACAGACTGCAGCGCTCGCAGGCGCCTCGTCACCGGCGCCAGCAGCTCCGTGCGGAGGCGCCGCCCGTTGTGCAGGAACTGCAAGATGGCCCGCTGGAAGCCGTCCGCCGACAGCTCGCGCCCGTAGTACTTGTTGCGGCACAGGAAGTCGTTGGTTTCCGCCTGGTAGACCTACGGAGAGAGGCGGGGGAGGGGCGGTGGTGACGGCGGTTGTGCGGTCAGCGCATTCGGCCACGAACCCGGCGACCACCTGAGGTCGATTCGCGGTCACGGCTGAAGGCGGTTCCGCGACTTGGTCAAGCTGTCTATCCATCTGTGTGTCCGTCGGTCGGTCAGTCTATCCATCCGGCGGCCTGCTGGACAGTTAAGTCTGTGGGACAGTCTGTTTGTATGTAGTCTCGTTATTTGTCAGTCAATCGGTGTTGGTCAGTCCATCGGTCTGCATCGTCTGCCAGTCGATCCGTCAGCGCATTAGTCGCTTGGTCAGTGAGGCGCTCTGTCGCCGAGCCTGAACGGTCGGTCAGTCTGTTGGTTCGGCAGTCCGTAGGGAAGGCTCACTGAGCTGTATAGCACTTTTTCAGAAGTGACCTGGCCACAACCGATAGCTCAACGAAGTGGCTTGTCACGTGAAAATGTAAAGCACACTGCATGTGAATGTGAAGGGAAAAACCTGAGGACCCGGAGAAAAATCCACGCGACCACAGGGAGAACACGCAAACTCCAAATATAATACAGAAAGCGTCAGGGTCGGGATCGAACCCACGACCTCCTGCATACCAAGCGAAGGAGTTTAACACATCGGCTTTCAAGATCAATATCCATAATAGAGTTGTAGTTTTTTTAATTAGCTCTCGTAAATATGAATGAATCGTTTGTCAAGCCAACAAAACGTTCCAATTAGTCACTAGTTCAGCACACCGCTGTGTTGGAGGAGTATACCCACGACATTTACCATTCCAGCACCGTGACGTTTCGCCGCTAATTACAACAACCAGCCTCACCAGGCGATAGCCAGAAGTGCGGAGAATTCCTCTAGCTGTTAGTTCATCAGTCGGTCCATCGGTCACTGCGCGCGCGTCTGCGCAGACACGCGCGTGTCTCTGCACGCGCGTGTCTGCGAGTGTGTGTCTGCGAGCGTGTGTCTGCGCGCGTGTGTCTGCGAGTGTGTGTCTGCGAGCGTGTCTCTGCGCACATGTGTCTGCGCACGTGTCTCTGCGCGCGTGTCTCTGCGCGCGTGTGTCTGCGCGCGTGTGTCTGCGAGTGTGTGTCTGCGAGCGTGCGTCTGCGAGTGTGCCGCCCGCTCACCTGCATGCCGCAGATGCGCACGCCGAGCGAGCCCGAGGTGCTGCGGGCGCACTTCTGCATCTGCCGCGCCTTCTTCTCCTCGGAGGCGTCGTCGCCGTGCTGCCGCGTGCCCATCTTCAGGTCGAGGATGCACGGGCGCGAGAAGCGCGACACCACGTTCTCCAGCAGGAGGAAATCTGCGCCGGTACGCCGGGGAGGTCAAGGAGTTGCGTCGTAAATCTGGCGGCGCCGACAGGCGGGAGTCGGGGAGGGAGGGAGAGGGGGGGGGAAGGCGGTGGGGGTGGGGTGGGGTGACGCGTGGGGGCCACTCGTTGAGCACGCACACGAAGGAGCGAGGAGTCCGTTTACACGGCAGACGCGGGGACCGTCGAGAGATTTATTTAGCTTTTGGCGGCACGTGGCGACGTCCGGCGCGGCGGGGGGGGGGGGGGGGTGGAGGGCCCGCGTCCCAAGTGAAACGATCGAATGGAGACGTGAAGGAATGAACGGCAGAATGAATCGACGAACGTATTCATGGGCGGGCAAGGATACGGAAGAGCTGCCGCTCCTTGGCCTCCGACCACATACGGCTCATCTGCTTGCTGTGGCAACTCATGCGCCACGTGTGCAGGCTGCAGTTCCCGTCGCTGGCGCCGTGCGCGTAGCTGCTGCTGCTGCTGCCGCCGTTGTTGTTGTTCTCGCTGAGCTCCACGGTGACCTGCGTCTGAAAGCGCAGCTGCACCTCCAGACTCTTGACGTCCGTGTTGCTCACGTGCAGCTCCAGCTCCACGCTCTCCACCTCCTGCGAGCTGCAGGGCGACGGCGCAGCAGCAGCCAGCAGCAGCAGCCAGCAGCAGCAGCACGCAGCAGCAGTAACAGCAGCAGCACGCACCACCAGCAGCAGCCAGCAGCAGCAGTAGTAACAACAGCAGTAACAGCAGCAGCACGCACCACCAGCAGCAGCCAGCAGCAGCAGTAGTAACAGCAGCAGCACGCAACAGCAGCAGCAGCAGCAGCCAGCAGCACGCAACAGCAGCAGCACGCAACAGCAGCAGCATCCAGCAGCAGCAGTAACAGCAGCAGCACGCAACAGCAGCAGCAGCAGTAACAGCAGCAGCACGCAACAGCAGCAGCACGCAACAGCAGCAGCACGCAACAGCAGCAGCACCAGCAGCAGCAGCCAGCAGCAGCAGCACGCAACAGCAGCACGCACCACCAGCAGCAGCCAGCAGCAGCACGCAACAGCAGCAGCAGCATCCAGCAGCACGCAACAGCAGCAGCACGCACCAGCAGCAGCATCCAGCAGCAGCAGTAACAGCAGCACGCAACAGCAGCAGCCAGCAGCACCCAACAGCAGCACGCAACAGCAACAGCAGCAGCACGCACCAGCAGCAGCACGCACCCAACAGCAGCAGCAGCAGCCATCGATTGTGATTTTTCACTGCTTGTGACTGACTGACCGACCGACTGGGTTTCTGTCTATGGCTCTCTGTGTAAGTCCGCGTGTCTCCGAGCGCACGCGAGCCAACCGACCTGGTGGACACCTCCTCCTGCTCGCACCGCTCGCCGCCGCCGCCGCCGTCGGAGGAGGAGGACGACACGGCGGCGGAGCGCGTCGTCACCGTGCGCCGGAAGTGCTGGTGCCGGGCCCGGCAGCCGTCGGGCGCCGTGGCGGCAGCGGCGGCGGCGGCGGCTGCGGCCAGCTCGTCGCGCTCCGAGTGCGGGTAGGCCACCAGGCTGATGTAGCCCTCGCTGTTCTCCTCGAAGCAGACGGACACCACGCCTGCCGGGGGCCCGACGGAGCGGCGGGGGGAGTGGAGGGGGGGGTTGGGGTTAGGGGGTTAATTTCGTTGGTTTTTCGTTCGGCCAGAGCAGCAGCAGCAGCAGGGTGCGTTGGCACTGCGGCGGTAAGGCTGGTGACCACCTCGCCACCCGACCCTGCCTGGGCAGCTGGAAGCGCCCGGCTTCAGGTCACCACCCTCGGGCGCCATCCGTCACGCCGTGACGCGTGGAGAGACGTGGTCGCGGAACGAAATGTGAAAAGCGCGTCAAAGAGAAGCGCGCGCGGAGGATCGCGCGTGCGATTGCGTCGAGAGGCACAGCGGGGACGGGGGGACGTACGCAGGCCGCAGACAAAGCCTAGCGGCCGTCGAGAACGGGGCCTGGGCTCGCGGCGGAGCGACAGCCGACGGGAGGGAACGCGTTCGCCCAGAGAGAGGAAGTCCGCCACGGAGACGGAGGGGTGGAATTGGCTCGTGAGCAGTCGCTGGGTGGATTATTATTGTTACGTCGCATGGCCGTGAGAGACTGGTATCGGGAGTCCTTCAATCCAGCAGCGGATGGAACACGGCTAATGTTGACATTTCTTTTTTTAGACGAATCAAAAATCGTCTCCTCCCCAGGGCCGTTGTCCTGCGACTGATCGCTGCGACGACCCCCAGATGAAAACGGTGGCGAGATGTTAACTACCTCGCCTGGTACGGAGGAGGTCGTGGGTTCGATCGCGACCTTGACGCCTGCTGCTGTATATTTGGAGTTTGCGTGTGCGTCTCTCTCTCTCTCTCCGTGGTCGCGCGTTTTCCCCCCCCCCCCCCCCCCCCCCCGCATTTAGAATCGAGTATTCGGCTGCTGTGAATTTCCGCACGATAAGCCACTTTTCGTTGAGCTATTATCATTTGTGATAGCCAGGTCACCGCTGAAACAGAGCTACGTAGCTCAGTGGACCTTACCTGATAAAACTAAACTAATAGTTTAGTTCTAGATTCAAACGTCCTCCTGGCAGCGCGTCGCGTCGCGACGGCAGGAGGGACGCGGCGGAACCTACCGGAGATCTGTGAACAAGAGCTTCATAGCTCATCGGATTCCTCCAGTAAAAAAACAAATCGTGTGATTCCGATTGTTTTACAGCGAGTAAAAGAAAACAAACAACGGATTCGTTATTTTGGCCGCTGTTGCCGTTACGGATTTAGCGGCGACAGCTCAGCAGCTTGGACCTCCGGGGCCCACCACCACCACCAGCACCACCCACGCCGGCCACCTCACCGTGGCGCTCTACCCCAGCCAGGCGGCTGTCATCGGACCGTCGGAGCAAAGCACCTGCGCTTTGCAAAAACTAAAGCAAACGCAAAGAACAAAAACCGAGCGCCTTAAAACTGACGCACGCCACAGGTAATAATCTGCAAACAGGGCGCCGACCTCGTCCGTGGGAGGCGAGAGACAAGGAGAGAGACACGGAGAGAGACACGGAGAGACACGGAGAGACACGGAGAGAGACAAGGAGAGAGACATGGAGAGAGACATGGAGAGACACGGAGAGAGACACGGAGAGACACGGAGAGAGACAAGGAGAGAGACACGGAGAGACGCGGAAAGACACGGAGAGACGCGGAGAGACACGGAGAGAGACACGGAGAGACACGGTGAGAGACACGGAGAGACACGGAGAGAGACAAGGAGAGAGACACGGAGAGACGCGGAAAGACACGGAGAGACGCGGAGAGACACGGAGAGACACGGAGAGACACGGTGAGAGACACGGTGAGAGACACGGAGAGAGACAAGGAGAGAGACACGGAGAGACACGGAGAGAGACACGGAGAGAGACAAGGAGAGAGACACGGAGAGACGCGGAAAGACACGGAGAGACACGGTGAGAGACACGGAGAGACACGGAGAGAGACACGGAGAGAGACACGGAGAGACACGGAGAGAGACACGGAGAGAGACACGGAGAGAGACACGGAGAGACGCGGAAAGACGCGGAGAGACGCGGAGAGACACGGAGAGACACGGAGAGAGACACGGAGAGACACGGTGAGAGACACGGAGAGACACGGAGAGAGACAAGGAGAGAGACACGGAGAGACACGGAGAGAGACACGGAGAGAGACAAGGAGAGAGACACGGAGAGACGCGGAGAGACACGGAGAGACACGGAGAGAGACAAGGAGAGAGACACGGAGAGACACGGAGAGAGACACGGAGAGAGACAAGGAGAGAGACACGGAGAGACACGGAGAGAGACACGGAGAGAGACAAGGAGAGAGACACGGAGAGACACGGAGAGAGACACGGAGAGAGACAAGGAGAGAGACACGGAGAGACACGGAGAGAGACACGGAGAGAGACAAGGAGAGAGACACGGAGAGACGCGGAAAGACACGGAGAGACGCGGAGAGACACGGAGACCCGGAGACGCCCCCCCCCCCCGGTGAGACGTGGAGGACCTTTACAAGATGTTCCCGCGAATTAAGCGGGGGGGGGATGGGGGGTTAAAATCCACACCGCCAATCAGCTTTTGCCAAAATCCGATCAGGCGTCGCACGAGCGCCAGGATGAAGGGTGAGCGCGTTGAAGCGTTGAGGCTGACGTTGTTTACGAGCAGAGGGGGGGGGGGGGGGAGTTTGGGGCTTTAAGGGCCGCCGGTGGATTGTTGGTGCCACGGTTAGCGCCCTGGAAATGTTGAGTTGGCAAAACCTCTGCGACTGAAATACAAAACAGTCCTGAGCCGTCCATTCACCAACCTACATTGACCAGGGTGGTGAAGTATGGTCAAACCATCCCCATGACTGAGGGTGATGTGGGCAGGTGTTTAATTCAGAAGGTTAACAGACAACTCATTATTTTACATCATCAGCATTCGTAGCCATGATCAATCCACTGCTGGATGAAGGCCTCCCCCCCAAGCCGTCATGATCTGGCGTTGTCGCGATCGATATTGGAGCACACGAGCAGATTTCATCCCTCCATCTCTGCGGCCGTCAATCTCTGTCACTATTATAGTAGTAGGTTTTTACCCTTTTAACTGGTACAAAACTGACACCTTTATTCAAGGCATCATGTTTGCAATGACCACAACACAAGTAGTCACAAAAGCAAACAAAAAGAAGCAACTCTGATAAGGATGATAATATGCACTGTCCTTGAAGTTGATTGGCCCACACCCGAGACGGCTTTCTTTAGAGCCTAGTCCCCATTGGTGTAGGGCCAGATGACACCAGAAGGTGTACAACTCAAACACAGTGCAATATCAGAGTATTGAGAGCTCGGGGTAAGCATTTACACTATGAGATCTCTTTTACCAGTGGCAAAATATAATAGTAGGTTTTTACCCTTTTAACTGGTACAAAACTGACACCTTTATTCAAGGCATCATGTTTGCAATGACCACAACACAAGTAGTCATAGTGTAAATGCTTACCCCGAGCTCTCAATACTCTGATATTGCACTGTGTTTGAGTTGTACACCTTCTGGTGTCATCTGGCCCTACACCAATGGGGACTAGGCTCTAAAGAAAGCCGTCTCGGGTGTGGGCCAATCAACTTCAAGGACAGTGCATATTATCATCCTTATCAGAGTTGCTTCTTTTTGTTTGCTTTTTTTTGACTACTTGTGTTGTGGTCATTGCAAACATGATGCCTTGAATAAAGGTGTCAGTTTTGTACCAGTTAAAAGGGTAAAAACCTACTATTATATTTTGCCACTGGTAAAAGAGATCTCATAGTGTAAATGCTTACCCCGAGCTCTCAATACTCTGATATTGCACTGTGTTTGAGTTGTACACCTTCTGGTGTCATCTGGCCCTACACCAATGGGGACTAGCCTCTAAAGAAAGCCGTCTCGGGTGTGGGCCAATCAACTTCAAGGACAGTGCATATTATCATCCTTATCAGAGTTGCTTCTTTTTGTTTGCTTTTTTGACTACTTGTGTTGTGGTCATTGCAAACATGATGCCTTGAATAAAGGTGTCAGTTTTGTACCAGTTAAAAGGGTAAAAACCTACTATTATATTTTGCCACTGGTAAAAGAGATCTCATAGTGTAAATGCTTACCCCGAGCTCTCAATACTCTGATATTGCACTGTGTTTGAGTTGTACACCTTCTGGTGTCATCTGGCCCTACACCAATGGGGACTAGGCTCTAAAGAAAGCCGTCTCGGGTGTGGGCCAATCAACTTCAAGGACAGTGCATATTATCATCCTTATCAGAGTTGCTTCTTTTTGTTTGCTTTTTTGACTACTTGTGTTGTGGTCATTGCAAACATGATGCCTTGAATAAATGTGTCAGTTTTGTACCAGTTAAAAGGGTAAAAACCTACTATTATATTTTGCCACTGGTAAAAGAGATCTCATAGTGTAAATGCTTACCCCGAGCTCTCAATACTCTGATATTGCACTGTGTTTGAGTTGTACACCTTCTGGTGTCATCTGGCCCTACACCAATGGGGACTAGGCTCTAAAGAAAGCCGTCTCGGGTGTGGGCCAATCAACTTCAAGGACAGTGCATATTATCATCCTTATCAGAGTTGCTTCTTTTTGTTTGCTTTTTTTGACTACTTGTGTTGTGGTCATTGCAAACATGATGCCTTGAATAAAGGTGTCAGTTTTGTACCAGTTAAAAGGGTAAAAACCTACTATTATATTTTGCCACTGGTAAAAGAGATCTCATAGTGTAAATGCTTACCCCGAGCTCTCAATACTCTGATATTGCACTGTGTTTGAGTTGTACACCTTCTGGTGTCATCTGGCCCTACACCAATGGGGACTAGGCTCTAAAGAAAGCCGTCTCGGGTGTGGGCCAATCAACTTCAAGGACAGTGCATATTATCATCCTTATCAGAGTTGCTTCTTTTTGTTTGCTTTTTTTTTACTACTTGTGTTGTGGTCATTGCAAACATGATGCCTTGAATAAAGGTGTCAGTTTTGTACCAGTTAAAAGGGTAAAAACCTACTATTATATTTTGCCACTGGTAAAAGAGATCTCATAGTGTAAATGCTTACCCC